CCCCGCGTCCCACATACAGGTGGCTGCTGCGCGGCTCCCACATCGACATGTGGTGTCTCCTTCGCCTGTCTCTTCTGGGGAGGAAAAACAAACGGGTTCAATCCCCCCCCAACTTTTACCACACGGTGGGCAATGCAGAGAGGTTTCCTCCCCCCTCAACCCCGGGGCAGCTGGCATGGCTGTGCTTATCGGCTGGGGCAGCCCGGCCCCAGCGAACCGCCAGCACTTACGTGCTTGGACACTGGCAATGCTGAGATTTGTTTTTGGGAGGGTCACAGAGCCTTCTCTGCACCAGCCAGCTGTGCAGCAGCTGCACGCCGAGAGCGGTGCAGGCTGCAGCCCCTCAGAAGCCCTGGAAGATCTCTGGATATCTAATAGCGCTTTCAAACTGCTCCAAATCCACTTCTCCTGAGCAACACGCGGCAATTTGAAAGAGGAAGCAACGCATCAGGCCAGCCCCAGGCTGCTCAAAGCTGTTGCCATAGGCTAAAGACGCCCCGAGACCACAAAGAGGAAGCTCCCTAAGAAAAACGAGGCACAAATCCAGGGCTGAGATGCCCAAGCCCCTGTCACCAGAGCAGGTTAACAGGGCTGTCAATGCCCTTCATCTCTACCAACTTTGGGCAGCCGGGGAGATTCAAGGCTTTATCCTGTGCATCTGATTCCCCTGTCCCTTCAGATAAGCACAGAAAAGATTCAGATACGCACAGCTCCAAGCAAACGGCTAGGAGCAAATGCAAATGTGCACACAGCAATGTTTTGTTGCCAATGCCACGTGTGCAGGACATGGGAGCAAATACACTCCAGTCCCATGGGACTGAGCGCCCGAAGAGCTCATGCAGGCGAGAAGGTGTGCACCTCGCAGCCATCCACTGAGTTTAATGTTCCCCTCAGCTCCCTGGGTTATTTACACCCTTTTTACAGCCATGGGAACATCCCAGTGCCACGCTGGAGGCAGAGAGCACCCATCACCACTGTCATCCCCATGGCAAGTGGCCCGAGCCTTCAAACACATCCACGTTAGGCACCAGCACACGACAGCATCCGCATGTGTCCATTTGGCCACCCACTCGTCACACAGCCCTGAGCCATCTGCACCAACGGCGCCCGTGTGCAAATACAATAAATACTCCGATCAGCACCGCAGCCGCCCACGACAACCCGGCCACATGGGACCACTCACCCCCGAGCGCCGCCGGACCTCTCCACAGGCAGCAACACGTGTACCAAACCTGCCTGCGTTGGGTACCCACACAGAAACGAAGCCATCTGTGTCTGCACACCCAAACACAAAGACCGGCTGGGTCTCACTGCACTGAGTTTCCAACAGCCCTTCTGCACCATCTCTGCTCCAGCTTGTTCCCCTGCTGTGATGGCCCCCCACTGTCCCTCCCCAGCTGCTGGCATCGGCGTAGCACCACCAAAAGAACATCAGACCCAACACAGGAGATGGTTGCCTTCCCCATCCTTAGCACTTATCCATTCTGGTGAGGGGATGGAGCTGGAAAAAAGATCTGCAAATATCAGTTTCTCCCACTTCAATGCCACTAGAACAACAACAAAAGGTTAAAGAGATCTGGTTTTCCTAACCAGCTGCAGCTGAAAACAGCTCAAAAACTCTGGCAGGGGTGTGCAGCATGGGAAAATCCTTCAGTGCCCTAATACAGTCCATCTCCCCTCCTCTTCTCTCCAATCTGTCCATTCTCCATCTTCTTCTGCAGCCTAAATCCCTCTTTATCCAACACATTCCCACTGCTAGCCAGAGACAGTCACGACAGACGGACTCTCCTGTAATCTCCCCTCGTACTTGGCCAGGCACAGATTTATGATGAACATCCCATCACCACCAAACCAGGGCAATATCTGGGCATGCTGGGAGACGAGGAAGCATTTACAAGCACCCCCAACTCCTGCTGCCCCTAAAGTCAGGGGTGATGCCTGCAGGATGGGTGATTATCCCATTCCAAACTAGAGCGGGAGTCGTTCTCAACATTGCCTCGGACCCCCCCTCCCCAGATCGCTGCTTGCCTGAAGACAGCAGTTTCTTTCTGTAAATTTGCAAAAGATTCTGCTTGGCTGGGTTTCAAAGCGTAACAAAACCTAAAATTCCCTGGGAAGGGATTCTATTAAAAAAAAAAAAAAGAAAAGAAAAAGAAATAAATCCTTTCAGCTGTACTGAAATGTACTGTTTTGGGAAACAAATCAAAACGCCTCGTTCCAATGTTGACTTTGAAAGTTTTATGTGATTTAGACCATATGACACTGCAAAATAAAGGGAAAAAAAGGCATCCAGAAAGGAAAAAACAGAATTTTCTTCTGCTGAAATGCAGAGACAAGGCTCCTTAACACCATGTCGGGAGTTTATGTGGTTTGGGGCTTTTTTTTCTTGCCTAAATCAAATTTCTGTACAAGCAAACGTGGTTTCGCAACCTGCTCCATCTCTCATAACTGCATTCGTTACCAAGGAAGGAGCCTGGGAGAGACTTGTGACACCGCCGCTCCCTTCTCCCCTAGCCCCGGCCACTCTCCTGCAGCTCTGCCATGAAGAAACGCTCCCCAGGAACAAAGATCACCCCTCCTTAAGAAAAACTTGAGATACCTTCCTCCTCCCCAGTCTCCTTTCCCACCCCAGCAGCAACCCTGAATGAGATTTGGGGCAAAAAGCCTCTTTTAGCTGATTTGTGGTCCCTCTTCTGACACTTCTCTGAAGGCACCGCTCCTAGATCTCCATCCATCCTCATGAAGACACCCAGAGAGGGAGACGCCCTGGGCAAGGACCCCCTTTTCTTGCGGCAGCCCCCACACCCAGCCAGGTCAGGCTCCTTTCAAGCTGTCCACCCTTCCGAGAAGCCCGTGCGGGTTGAGGCTTTGGGAGGGGATCACTCACTCAATAGCAGGCATGTTTGGGGCAGACATGGGGCTGACTTCTTTGGCTTTCTGAAGGGCGTGCTTCTGGTTAAACGCCTCCTCTTCCTCCTGCTCGTCCTGCGGAGGAAAGAGGGGAGTTGCTCAGTGGGATGCTGGGGTTTCGAGGGAAGGTGCAGGGGTTTCGAGGGAAGGCGCAGGCGTCGGAGGCAGCGAGGGATGCACGGGGCTGCCTTAGATACCGAGGTGTGTAGGAGGAAAGGGGAGCAGGCACCTGTATTTCCAGAGACAGCCTCTATTTTATTACAGGGGTGCAACCTCTCCACTACAACAGATCTTGCTGAAGGCATCAGCGCTACCTAAATAAGTGAACCCAGCCCACTCCAGGTGAGAGCCAGGCTGTACAAAAGCCCCAGACGGCGTAGAGCAGCTCAGCCCTCCCTTCTTCACAGCGACAGGGGCGAGACAGGCATCCCCTCGATGGAGTGGGAAGCAAGGCATCTACGAACGACCCTGGCAGAGACCGTATTGCTTTAATGAATACAGTTGTGTCTCCGGAGCAAAAAATGTCATTAGGAGTCATTAGTGCGCTTTCAGCCTTTTCAAAAAGTCAGCGCTCCCTTAATTGGTGCTGCTGGTACGCGGCAGGGCTCTCCCAGCCCTCTCACCCCAGAAGCAGCTGGCAGCCCCTGGAAATGCCACCTGCACCCTCCGCAGGAGGACAGGGACCCCCACACGCACCCCTCAGGCAAATTAGCCCCATGCCCTGTTTCGTTTGCTGCTAACGGCTCAGATTTATATCAGTAGTGGAAGCTTCCTAGTAAACCCCAAGGACCTGAGTAATAGGCTCTGCAAAAATACGGGCACAGCGGGATCGCTGGTCCCCTCCGAAGAGCAGCAACGACCCATGCAGCTCTCGCCTACTCACCGATATCCAGATGGTGCCCCAACGTATTAACATTCCCCAAATATTTCCCAGCGTGGTCTTAAAAACAAGCTAAGCCAAATAACCTTCTCAAGCACCATTCTAAATCACATCCACTGTCCTGTGGACAGATGGGGAATAAATACTGACACCGCTGGAAAGGGCTTCCCACCCTGCATCTCCAGAGCGCTCGGGCAAAAAAACTGTCTCTGCACCAAAGCCCACCAGACAGATAAGTGCTATCTCAATCTGATGAAGCTGGGGAACTTAAATGGAGAAACAGTTGAGCCAAACTTGATGGGAAGATTGGGTATTCCTGGAGGGACGTGAGACTAGCAATTTTAAGCATTTTCCTGAGTCAAAGTCTAACCAGCTTTGTCCAGCGATACGGGTTTGCGTTCAGAGGAGCACCAAGTGCACCTTCCTGGAGGAAGGGCCTCCATTCGCAATTTGACCTGTCCCCCTTTTCAAGGCAAGCAGAGCTAAGGGACAAGGTGACCCCAGCTCTGGGGTAAGGACAGTCACAGGCAGTGCCTTTCCTGCTGGCCCCTTCCCACCAGCAAGAGAAGAAAGAAGAGCAACCAGAACATACCTTGGTGAGCTCCTGAGCGTTGGCCAGGTTGTCCACCGCAATGGCCAAGAACACATTCAACAGAGTATCTGCGAGCAGCTAAGGATGCACAAGCCATGTGTTAAGGACATGGGTTTCTGCAGCCACCAAGGGAAGGTGACTCCGACGGCTCCTCACCACCTCAGTGAGGAGTACCCAAAGGGACAAACTCCTCCCCCATCCCATAGATACAGCCCTCAACGCATTCCCAGACAACTCCTGCTCTGTGTTTGGGATATCTAGGGCTGCACGTGTGCTGGGACCCCCTCAATCTGGAGAGGAGGAAGGAGTGGTGGGTGTGGAGGGGTTGTCGCCATTAAAAGTACAGCGTCCAGGTGGATACAGTTTCCAAACAAGGTGAGGACGATGAAATAGATGGAGGACCACATGCCTGAGCGAACACCACCCTGGGAGCGGATGCCGTTGTACATCACTTCGTTCCAGTCCTCACCCGTCAGGATCTGCGGGAAAGAAAGCCAGCAGCTGTCACCTGCACCTTGTCACCTGGACAGCCCCCTCCATCCACCCCACTAATGTGCTGGAGTCAAAGTACAGAGACTCTGAGCGGTGGACAACCCAGCTCTACAGCTGCAGCACTTCAGGGAGATGATGTTGGACACTGCTGAGGATTTAGATCCCCTCAGAAGAGCTCTGAAACTCTTCCACCTTGCATGACGGAGGTGGAAGAGTTTCCATCTCTTGCCATCTGCTTTGCTATACAGGAGAAGAGGGAGGAAATAAGCTGTATCCTAGCAGCTGATGGAGGGGAACCCATTTGGTTTAAAGATCCCCTTCCAGCCAGAGGGGAGTGAACAGAGAGTCCCAAGTCCCTTTGGTTGTGTCCCCTTGCAGCCCAGCCCCTACCTGGAACACTGTCATGATGGCTGCGGGGAAAGTGTCGAAGTTGGCCGATGGTGTCCCATCGATGAAGTTAAACCTAGAAGTGGAACCGAGAGCACGTAAATGGGCTGGATGACCAAGGTCATCAAACCCCTAACTGCTGTGCTATCAGCTCCCTTGTGCTTAGGAGGACCTTTCCTCACTTTAAGGAAGGTCTCCCAAGCATTTCGTGCCAGATCCCCCAAAGGTGTCCTTGCCAGAAGGACCCTCACAGCCCAAAGGCACCTGCTCAGGCAGGAACTTTTGGAAAGGGTAAGGTATCACTGTTAGCAGCAGGCTGAGGGGCAAGGCTACAGTCTTCCTAGGCACCTAAGAGGGCTTTTAATGCCAAGAAATTCTTTTTCCCCAGACTTAAAACAACCTACCTGCCTCCAAACAGCTGCATTCCCAGCAGGGCAAAGACTACAATGAAGAGGAAGAGGAGGAAGAGCAGGCTAATAATAGACTTCATGGAGCTCATCAGTGAGACCACCAAATTCCTTAGGGATGCCCAGTACCTAGGAAACAGAGACAGCGCTGGAGCACTCACAGTGATGCTGACAGGAGAGCAGGTGTGACTGGATCTGGGTCTTCATCTGGAAGATCCGGGATCTTCATCTCGAGCTACAGCTCAAGATAAAGGGCGACAGGCATGGATGGTTGGTACATACTTGGTTATTTTAAATATTCGCAGGAGACGAAGGGCTCGTAGGACACTGATCCCAAAGGAGGTTCCTGGCCTGAAGATAGCCCAAACCACTTCGAAGATGCTTCCCACTGTGACCTGAGAAGCAGACACAGCCACGGGTCAAAGACAGTCTCAGGACCAGGTGTTGTAGGAAACCTTCACATGCCTGAAGACAAGGCACCCACCACCTTGCCCAAGACGTGGTGTCTCCTGTCTGGCTCAGGCAGGCTGTCCCAGCAGAAAGGGTTCCCCTGCCCACTGCGAGGGCTGTCTCTGTTCCCCCCACATTGGTACCTCGTGCTGCAGACACCTGCCAAACATCTCCCACCCTTTGCCAGCACCCCGGGGCTGCTTACCCCACAGTCAAAGCAGTTGAAGGAAGAATGGAAGTAAAGACGTGGCCCCATCCCATACATCTTTAAAGACATCTCCAGGAGGAACAGTCCAAGAAACAGGAACTCTGCATAGTCTGAAAGAGAAAACCCAGATGTGCTTACTCTCAAGGTGCTGAGCTGCAAGGATGCAGGCACCCACCCACAGCCCATCACAGACATGGGACAAGTTGAAGAACATGCTGCTTCCCCTCAGCTCTCTCAGGCTAGGGTATGGGATGAGGGAAACTTGTTTGCAAGGACCTAAATTGTTTATAACAGAGCACCAGCCCCACATGTTAACCTTCCAGGGTAGGTGCATGAGTGTTGCAAGGGTCTGAGAAGACCAGAAAAGGCCGGCATGGAGCAGAGCAGTTTTTTCGCATTGTACGACAGTGGTTGAGGCAACTGCAAAGACGTCAACAACAC